TATATATATATATATATATATATATAAAATATATATATATATATATATATATATAGACTCACTGGCTACTTTATGAGGTACACCATACTAACACTGGGTTAGGCTCCCTTTTGCCTTCAGAACTACCTTACAAGGTCCTAAAAAGATTACTTTATTTTGGTCTATATTGACATTATAGCGGCAACGCAGTGGCGCAGTAGGTAGTGCTGTCGCCTCACAGAAAGAAGGTTGCTGGTTCAAGCCTCGGCTGAGTCAGTTGGCGTTTCTGTGTGGAGTTTGTGGCATGTTCTCCCTGCGTTCACGTGGGTTTCCTCCGGGTGCTCCGGTTTACCCCACAGTCCAAAGACATGTGGTACAGGTGAATTGGGTAGGCAAAATTGTCCATACTGTATGAGTGCGAATTAGTTTGTGTGTGGATGTTTCCCAGAGATGGGTTGCAGCTGGAAGGGCATCCGCTGTGTAAAAATGTACTGGATAAGTTGGCGGTTCATTCCGCTATGGCTACCCTGGATTAATAAAGGGACTAAGCCAAAAAGAAAATGAATGAATGGCATGATAGCATCATTCAGTTGCTGCAGATTTGTTGGCTCCACATCCATGAATGCAAATCTCCTGTCACATCCCAAATGTGCTCTATTGGATTGAGATCTGCTGACTGTGGTGGCCATTTAAGTACAGTGAACTCATTGTCATGTTTAAGAAACCAGTCTGAGATGATTTGCGCTTTATTACATGGTGCGTTAACCTGCTGGAAGTAGCCATGAGAAGATGGGTACACTGTGGTCATAAAGGAATGGACATGCTCAGCAACAATATTCAGGTAGGCTGTGGCATTGTCATGATGCACAGTTGGTACTAATGGGCTCAAAGTGTGGCAACAAAATATTCCCTACAGCATAACACCACCAGCAGCAGCAGGATGAACTGTTGATAAAAGGCAGAATGGATCTATGCTTTCATGCTGATGATGCCAAATTCTGACCCTACTATCTGAATGTTGCTCAGTTACTCATCAGACCAGGCAACGTTTTTCCTATCTTCTATTGTCCAATATTGGTCAGCCTGTGCGAAGCCTCAGCTTCCTGTTCTTAGCTGACTGGAGGGCACCCAGAGTGGCCTTCTGCTGCTGTAGCCCATCCGCCTCGAGGATGGACGTGTTGTTGTAACTAGTGGTCATTTCAGTTACTGTTGCCTTTCTATTAACTCCAACCAGTCTGGCTATTCATAAATACATATTAAATATTATTAATAATTCATCTTAAATTTGTGTAACAATAATAATTGTGTAAAAATGAAGCAGCGAACACCCATACTTAATATAAAATATATTAAAGAATTAACTGTTTACCTTAAAGCTAAGAATAGATTAAATGAATATAAACTGTTATGCTGATAAATTTGCCAAATAAGATATGTTTGAGTATAATAAAATTTGTTGTTGCACAGCTAAAAATGACATTTTAGTTGGTGTCTTAAGCAAATATGATACAAATGTTTGAAAGTTATTATTTTTTTCAAAAGAAAAATATAATTCATCCGAGTGCATTCATTTATGAAAAAAAAAAGAATTGTTTTGTAAATGTATTTAAGAATTCATTATTGTTTCATTCAAATGTAAATTTTTATTATCTGTTTTTGTGTACTGCCCTGCAAAAATGAAATCTCTTCCTTGTTTTTGTTTTTTATCATAACAACAGTAATGGCCCCAAATCCATCGAAGAGTGCTGTGATTGGTTTAAGAAGAGTCTAGAGGAACTGAATGTGGAATGCTACAAGGAAATGCACAGTCATCATGAGAAGGCTAGTTTCTGAAAAACGTGTTTGTGTGATGCGCAGATAATCTATTTACAGTATCTATGATGTCAGTCAGATTAGTTTACAACATTTCTTTCTTACAGGCTATAGACTGCATTGTGGGAACAGTCTGTTATGAAAGAATTGCTGCCCACGGTCCTCAGCTTGGACCTGTAACTCAGACAAACCCTTTGGTGCTGAGGTAAATATTTCACACAGTCTTGTCTGGTCTTGACTACTTATTGTGGTCAGGAACCACCCATTTAAACAAGAAAGATCATCCGACTGTCATAAAGGTGCCACGCTCAGTTAATTTTGTATTTATATGACGTAAAAGACAAATGAACAAATAAGAATTTACAAATTGTACAAAATAATTAGCTGAGCACAGAAAAGATCCTAGTATTTCTGATCATCTTGAAGAAATTAGGTCAAAAATGTACTATAATACAGTAGAGTGTACTTGTAGCTATAACTTAAAAAAATAAATTGTTGTTTATTTAAAAAAATTGATGATATGAATGAACTGGCAATGCATCTTAATGACCAAACTTTAATTATGCCATTGAAATATATATTTGATTTATTTGATTTTATTTATTCTATTTATTTTTTTAGTATTTTTGTTTGTTTTGTTTTCATTTTATTATTATTATTTTTAGTTTAGTTTAATTTTTATTTCATATTTCATTTAGTTTAGTTTAATATATTTATATTTTCTTTTTTTGTTTTGTTTTATTTAATCTTATTTAGTTTAGTTATATTTAATTTTTTATTTAGTTTAGTTTTCATTTTATTTTTCATTTTATTTAGTTTAGTTTTGTTTCCATTTAGTTAAAATTTCTTTATTTAATTTATTTTTGTTTTATTTTTTTATTTAGTTTAGTTTTTATTTTATTTAAAATTTTATTTAGTTTAGTTTTGTTTCCTCGTTTTATTTTTTTATTTATTTTTATTTAGTTTAGTTTAGTTTTTTATTATTTTTTTATTTTGCTTTATTTAGTTTTATTTAGTTTAGTTTTAGTTATTTTTTTATTTTATTTAGTTTTGTTTAAATTTGTTTCTATTTTATTTTTTCTTTAGTTTAGTTTAGTTATTTTTTATTTTATTTTTTTATTTAGTTTCATTCATTTTTATTTTCATTTTTTATATATTTTATTTAGTTTTATTTATTTTTCTTTTTTATAATTATTCTATTTTAAATTTAAATTAAACAGTTTAAATAAATTAATACAATAAATAAAACAAAAAAGTATGCCAGAAATATGTCCAAGTTAACATTTATATGTCTAAATATTAAAATTTTCCATCTGATGAGAATGGCAGATTTACAGTTTGGCCTTGTTTTGTTGTTTTAATGATTCAGATATTTTACCTTCCCATTTGAGGACATGACCATGGAGCAGGAAAGTCAGCTGATGCAGGATCCTAACAACGCTTGTCATCTGCTCGCTCATAATGGATGGGTGATGGGTGACGATCCCCTTAGAAACTTTGCAGAGGCAGGTCAGTCAGTAGTTATGAGTGTGCTGTTGACATAACATTGCAAATTCACAGTCACACATGTAGCAAAATTAGCCCATATAATTATAGTCATAAATAAACGAAAAATCTTCTTTTCAGAAATAATATGCTAAAATTAAGTGTTTTTTTTTTTTTAAACAAGCAAATGATTTGCCAATGGGATAAACAAAACAATCTAGTTTTTCGTTTTGACATATGATTATTTAGCTTACCCCATCGGCAGAGTATTTCGTTGCCATTTTGTCATTCATTTTCTTTTCGCATAGTCCCTTTATTAATCAGGGGTCGCCACAGCAGAATGAACCGCCAACTTATTCAGCATATGTTTTGTGCAGCGGATGCCCTTCCAGCTGCAACCCGTCACTGAAAAACACCCATACACTCTTATTCCCACACACACACACACACACACATACACACACACACACACACACACACACACACACACACACACAAACACACAAACACACACTCACACTACAGACAATTTAGCTTACCCAATTCACCTATGGACTTGTGGTAGAAACTAGAACATCCGGAGGAAACCCACATGAACACAGGGAGAACATACAAACTCCACACAGAAATGCCAACTGACCCAGCCAGGGCTCGAACCAGTGACCTACTTGCTTTGAGGCGACAGTGCTAACCCCCGTGCCGCCCTATTTTGCTTGTTTGTAATTAATTTTGGCATCATACTTAATACATGACAATATTTTTGGTTTCTAGATTTTAAAAAGTTTGAGGTATTTTGACTAAAAAGACTCAAAATCTAAGTAAGACAAGCATTTTTGCAGTGTAAAAAAATAAAAACAGTAAATTGTCAAACTACATATATATATATATATATATATATATATATATATATATATATTTACTATTATATATAAATATATATATATATTATATATATATATACTATTTTAATATATTTTTTAGTAGTAAAAAAAATTACTTTCTATTTGTCAAATACCCATGTGTGTATTTCGGTATCTCTTGAACAATAATCAAATACCAGCATGCTGGCAAGCCAACAAAGATATGCTACAGTTGCATGATCTTTCTGATAACCGAGATTGCTGAGTAACTGCAACTTTTACACTGATTTATCTGTCTGATAGGGTCTACTGTTTACCTCAGAAGAGAGCTTGTTTGCTGGGGCGACAGTGTTAAGCTCCGCTATGGCGACAAACCAGAAGACTGTCCGTACTTATGGGCTCACATGAAGAAGTACACTGAGATCACAGCCAAACATTTCTCGGGTGTGCGCCTGGATAACTGCCACTCCACACCCCTTCACGTGGCCGAGGTACATGCTCAAGTTTCCACTATTTCTGATCTGCAGTCATATTTATATTTAAATGACCTCATATGATGCAGGCAGGAGCATTTTGCAAAGTCATTGTAGATCTGTAGATAACAACTGACGCTGGTGGAAACAGATTGTGTTGTGTAACTTGTCCCACGTCGTTTCTTTCATATTTGACATTCTCCGAATCATTTTCATTTCTTCTGAAGGTGTTTTTTTTGTGTACAGTAAGGGGAAATAAGTAATGAACTTGTCATGTTTTATTTGTGAAGGAGCTGTTGACATGGAATTAAACCATATTTTGCTAAAAACACAAACAACACAAACTTAAAAATAAAATGTGTTATGTGTAATAACAATGCAATGACACAAGGACAAAAGTACTGAACTACTGAAATGCATTTAATACTTTTTTGTTGATGGCAGCTAAAAGACTCCTCTCATATGGTAAATTAAGTCATGTGCATTGCTTAACTGTGATTTATTAATTTTTTTACAGACTTCAATAGAGTGTAGTAATCTTGATGGTCCTTTAGGTCTCGTCAATCAAATCTGAGCTTTATTTTGTACTTTCTATTAGATTCAAGTCAGGTGATTGGTTGGGCCATTCTAAAGCTTGATTTTTTTTCTCTAAAAGCATTTGAAAGTTTCCTTGGTTGTGTTTTGAACAAGCGGCAACCTCCCGCTCTCCCTCGGGAAGCCAATACGGAAGTAACTAAAGCTGCAATTCATTGACTCGCCTTGGGGGGCTGGCTCCAGGAAGTCCAGGTCATTTCTGACTGCAATGGGAAATTAGCCGTTTTTTAAACCTGATAAATACATTCTTACAGCCTGATACAAAAGATGGTTTTGGTGCATATAGCCATGATTAACCTTCATGACAACTGTGAGGGGGGTAAATTTTTTTATAACCCATCCGTTTAATTTTTATTAAGTTATATTAAGTCTGCATAATTAAGTGCGTGGCCACTTGAGTGACAGCTAGGTCTCGCTGTTCGCTGTCTCGTCACCTCAGCTGATTACGGCTAATTAGCCGATGAACTCGGCATATACATTGCATTTTTGTGTTGGTTAATGTTTCTTTACACAGTCAATTCCCTTTTGGGATTATTTCCTGCAATTATCAGATGATATGGGGTAAGGGTGTCACGATCCTCCAAATCCTCGATTCGATTACATTTTCAATTCTAAAGGCATGATTCGATTCGATTTTCGATTATGAATAATTAATTAATTAATGACCAATTAATTATTTGTAGCCTACCGTTTAAACTACCTGACCTGCATGGTCATTGTTTTACTCATAAACAAATCATACAGTATATGAATAAAGGTAAGTTACACACATAATTACCACCTGTCAATCACTTTTTTTCTGCGGGATTCGTGAATAGGCAGTGATCTGTGTCGTTATAATGGCGTCGGTAAAAAAGGCGCACAGCCAACAGGAACCACACCAACAGTATCTGAGGTGTTCGCTAAAATGACTAAGTACAAGTGAGTGAAAGATTGAAGCAGTCTACTGATCCTCTGACTGCCTGGACCTGCTCTCTCGAGCGCATGGCTGTGTATGCGCCTGTGTGTGTGTGTGGTCACGTGATGTGCATTTTCAGAGGTAGAGATGAGGGCTGCTCAGAAATGCTACACGCCACTGTGGATGTCAAATCGTTGTCGTTCTAAAATGCCATTTAAAAACAAAGACAATGTAAACAGGGCCTGAGTGTGTACTTTTCGCGAGCGGATTTGCAACGGGGGCGGGCGGAGGATCGCGATGCTGGTGTTGTCTATTGGACGAACCGTACGTAATACGTACATAGCAGAGCTTCCAAAACTGTGTTTTTTTTTTTTTGTCGACAACACGAACGTTGTCAACATAACTCACATTTCGAATCACAACAACAGTAAGCAACAATAAGCATTTCGAATATGCGCATTTAAAGACAGTTGATGGAAATGCTAAGATTTGCATAAATTTAAAAAATGTGCATAAAATAAACTGAAGAATAAACTTCTTATTTGCACAAAAAAATGTGCATAAACTACGGTGGAAACACTTTTACCGAACAAATTCCAGTATGTGCATTAAAAAAGGTCATGTGATTTTGTTATAAGAGATCATGTGATCATAAAAATGTGTCTGAATGGACAGGCTGGCCACACTGTAAAACATCTGAAATGTTGCTTTGGTCATTCTAAAATGCCTTTCCATTTCATTTTTGGTGTTATTATATTATTAATGACCTCCAGAATCAAGAGCGTCTGTGGTCCGTGTCTCATTCCTACAAATGTCACCACACGTTCACTGCGTGTCTTAATTGCCTTCTGAGGTCATTTATTAAATGAGGAAAAGAGTTATGCAGCTTCCCCTACCCCTTGCCCTACCTACCCAGTTAATCAGGAAGTGACAATTTTGTTCTCCTTAAAATGGATTTTTCTCCTCCGATAAATGGATTTGCTGCATTATTAATTAATTTATAATGAGGAGGGGCAGAGGGTTGCTGAATAACTACTGAAAGATTTTAGCTGCTGTCTGGGCTTTCACTGCCTTTCTACACCTCCCTTTCCTCATATGTTCAATACTTTTACCCTGTATCATTTCATTTTATGACTAAGGGTGTCACGATTTCAATTTTTGAATTGTCACGATTTTTGAATTTTATGCTCAATCTCAATTATCGAATCAAAAAATAGAGTTGTCGATGCTGCCTTGCCCTATGTCTCGTCAGCTTGGCTTGCCAAGTGAGAAAAAAAAATGCTTGCTGAATTGCTGTGAGTCAACCTAACAGCTACAACAAACAGGCAAAAAATACCGTCAGCATGTAAACTGCAGACGCGGGAGACCCGTCGACAGAACTTGAACCCCCTCCTCTTTCACTGAAGAATGTAAAAGTATTTTGGATTTCCAGTAAGTTCTGTTGACAACGTTTATGTTGTTGGCAAAAAAAAACAAAAAAAAACAGAGCAAGCTCTGCTATTTTTGTATACCACATTATTCTAGCGCCAGCAAGACTAGCAGGGCATCTCCGCAAGCACCACAAAAACATTTATCTGTTAAACCCACAAGTGTAACACAACTCTTCCATCTTCATTTGGAGTAAAACTTCCAAGTAACTTAACACGTGCAAAGGCAATTGCAAGCGCAGTACGAGTATTTACAGCCACGGACATGCGACCTTACTCAGTGGTAGAAAACTCTGGTTTTAGGCATGTAATTAGCGTGCTAGAACCGTGCTACGAAATCCAAAGTGGAACGCATCTCCCAGCTACGGTGATATCCTCTATGTACAATAATGTGAAGGAGAAAGTTATTGAAGGTCTTTGAAGTGCACATTTAGTAGCCTTGACTACAGATTGCTAGACCTTCAGAGCAACACAGACCTTCATGACTGTCACAGCGCTCAAAGGTCAGATATTACAATACTGCATAAAAGTCTTAAAATGGTATAGCTTGTACTTTCAATTTTCAAACAGAAGCCAAAAAATAAAATCAACAATTACATGTAAATACAGGGTGAGAATGTGGTAAAGTCTGAAAACATGGTAAAAATCAAGCCAGGGCTTTTCTTTTTTTGGATTGCTTTTTAAAACTGTCGGTTGGGTTTAGGGAAGTTGGTGGGCGTTGGTCAGTTAGTGCTTTTGAAAACACTATTGGTTGGGTTTAGGGAAGGAAGAGGGTGAGCCAGTCGATCGGTCGGTCAGTCAGTCAAAAGCAGCCTGTGGTGGAATTACGGAAGAACAGCTGGCAGGAATGAAACTCATGAGAGAAATCTGAAATTGAGATCTGAAAAAGTGTACTCAGCAGCCTTAGGTGGATTCCTGAAAAAAAAAAAACGGAAAAAAAAAAAAAAACGTAGCTCCTGGGATGTATTTTGCACCCTCCAGAAATGTATATAGCGGCACTTTTTCAGAATAAGCCTGGGTTGATTTCTTTGGTTGTTACTAACATCTGGTGATAATTTCAAGTTAGCAGCACCTTTAGAAATATGATTTAAAATGGTGACATGTTCCTTACTTATTTCCTCACTGTGTATATATATTTGATATGTGATATGATGTATGTTATGTCTGTAGGCCATGTTAGCCGCAGCTCGAGTGGTCAGGCCCAATCTTTATGTGATAGCCGAACTCTTTACAGGAAGTGAAGAGCTTGACAATTTGTTTGTTAATCGGCTGGGGATAACCAGTCTCATCAGAGGTACTGCGGACTGCAAGAGGCACTTGTTTGCACTTGATTCTAAATGTGTCTTTTGTTTTTTTCCTTCCGCTTCTTTTTTTTACCTGAAACATTCATGCCATACCATTTAACCATTCCATTATCTGTTTTGACCTGATTAATTTCATGCACAAATAACACCTCATTAACATCATCATTCTTTACTAATGAACCTGCTGTGTGTCGTTTCATGCTTTATGTGTGCACATGTGTTTCTATCTATCTATCTATCTATCTATCTATCTATCTATCTATCTATCTATCTATCTATCTATCTATCTATCTGTCTGTCTGTCTGTCTGTCTGTCTGTCTGTCTGTCTGTCTGTCTGTCTGTCTGTCTGTCTGTCTGTCTGTCTGTCTGTCTGTCTGTCTGTCTGTCTGTCTGTCTGTCTGTCTGTCTGTCTGTGTCTGTCTGTCTGTCATTCTCTCCATCCATACATCAATCTATCCATTAATCTATCTATTTGTCTGATCCTGTCGTTCTGTATATCATTCTGTTCATCCATACATTCATTTATCCATGACTTATTTGTCTGGTTCTGTCTATCATTCTGTCCATTCATACATCAAACGCTTCATCGATCTATTTGTCTATGGTTTTGTCATTCTATCTATCATTCTGTCTATCATTCTTTCTCTTGCTGTCTATTGGACTGTTTGTCTGGTCATCCGTCCATCCATTTATCCTTGTCTATCTAACCCTGTGTGTGTGGGCTGGATGGGCTGCAGTATATATTGGCTGTTGCTCGTCAGCACAGGCCTGATCTGTATGTGGTGGCTGAGCTCTTCACTGGCAGCGAGGAGCTGGACAATGTTTTTATGACTAGGCTTGGCATTACCTCCCTTATCCGAGGTAAGTCGCAAAGAGAATGGGAAATGACTTTGCAAAAATAAGGAGCATGCCTTGTGGAAAATAAAGATTTATAGCAGGTGTGGCATGCTGTTGATTATTTACTGCTGTTAGAACAGGGTGGGTTGTATTTCACTCTGAATATTTCATATATTTGAGATGTTATACAGTGCTAAGCATAAATGAATACACCCCATTTTGAAAATGAATATTTTTATCCATTTCTCAGTGAATACAAGTAATATATTTGGGTACGTTCGAACTAAACAGATCTTTTTATGAAAATAATATTTTAGTCACAGATCTTAAGAAATGGATAAATATTGCATTTTTATTAAATATTTCATATTTAATATAGACACATTTTGGACTGTTATCGTAAGTTATTTTGTTAGATTAGCTCTAGATTTGTTTTCAGTACTGACTAATCTAATGTATATGCAGAAATATAATTTTTTAAAGCATCCTATAGAAAATATTAACTTTTTAAGTTTAATATTAACTAATTAAGATTTGTGAGGGGTTTACTTATACTGTATATGTTAAGTATTGAAGCATATTTTGCTGATTTAAGCTGAGCATAACACTAATATATTCCATTACATAAAGTCCACACTTATTCGTAATACTTTGATACAGGCCAATAATTTGAACTTTAAAATTAAAAACAGACAGTTTTTAAATTACTGTATGATAACCCCAGATGATTGATGACTAAAACGTTATTATTTTACATTTAAAATGTTATTTTTATTAAATTTCTATTTTTTTATTTTAACATTAATTTAAATTTTTAATAGTTTATTATATTATGTTTTTTATACAAAGTATATCACTCTTTTGAGGTATAATTTTCAACATATATTTGTATATTTTTGCCAATGCAAAGTTTCTATAGAAATATTTTACTGTTCATTAAAGCTGTAGTTTTTGTCAAATTAATCAAGGTGTAAAAATATAACTACAGTTGAAGTCAGAATTATTAGCCCCCGTTTATTTTTTCCCCAATATCTGTTTGTTGGAGAGAAGATTTTTCCAACACATTTCTCAACATAATAGTATTAATAACTTCTCTAATAACGGATTTATTTTATCTTTGCCATGGTGACAGTA